GGTTTCTTTATGAGGGACTTAATGTCATAACTTGTTTCACAAAGTGAATTAGTTGACAAGGGCAGCCATGTAAACACGTGACAAGTATGAACTTTGAATGGATTTATATCATTCTTTTTATTTTCTATATATATATTTTTTCAAATTGGCTCTCTTAATGGAAGAATCCAAGGTTTTCTTCTTCCCTCTTTTTTTCTTTGAGATGAATAAGGTGAGTTACAAATTACAATTATATCCCAGAAGATAGCAGGTGAATTCGATAGCAGGGTGAATTTCATCATATCAGTGTGTGAACTGTCCACATTTTCCGATTGGATCAAAACACACCAACATGGGTGTGTATGTGCGCGCGTGATTCAACGGCTAGAAACCCGGTTTGGGCACTAGGGTTAAATTAGTCGATGCACAGAAAATTATTGATGTGTGTCCAACACTTTGAAAGTTAAATTAAATGTGTTCATATTTCAGACATATGCATATGCACATAGGATACCCCTAAATCCGATTGATCATATGATGTAAATTGTAATAACCTCACAAGAGGTTCTTGTGTAGTTCACGAGCCAAATTTCACATGTAATTCTACGGAATTTCCATCTTGCCTGATATATCACCTTTATCCCATGCATGAGTCCTTCTTTGTCTATCCATATCAAATTAGCATAACTTATTAGCCATCTACATGCAATGAATCTTTTCGTTTTAATTTCAACTTTTTGTCAAGAACTACTAATATGTATAGGAAATTAAAGTTACAACCATTAGATTCATTTTCCACATTAAAAGTCACATCAAAAAACTATCGTGAAGAATCACTGATTAATATCTTTCAGACCTCTAAAAATTTCATATAATTAAGTTTTACGGTGACTTTTACCCTAATCTATAATCCCATAGGAGTTTAACCATTTGATTACACTCATTCACACACGCACCCATACGGCCATGTGTTGATCAAATGGTTAAAAATTTCATAGTGTTGTCCCACAGTTAGGGTCGAATTTTCCACGTTTCACCTAGGTAATGAGCTTCTAGCCTAGGAAGTAGGACCATCAATTTTTTTGTTCTAGATTATATTGCACTTTAATAAAATTACTTTTCTGACCAAGTAGTAGAAGGTCAGCCACGACAACTACTTTAAAGAGATGAACTCAATCGTTGAGCGAATGAAGTTTTGCCGTGTGAAGCAGATTTTCGTGGCTTAGTCCCCTCACATTTTCCTGAATACTTTTCCTGTTTGACTGCAAACGAGCCCGAAAAATCAAAATGCCTGGGGACTAAGGATCAATTTGGGAACTAACGGTCGCCAAAGATCGTGTCTTTGAAGCTCAGTTGGTGGTGGATGATGTGTTGAGGCATGCGGTGAATTTGGGAATGAGATTTACTGTTTCGGTTTGTGTTTTAGTCTTTGGATGAATGACACAATGTTATAAGATGATGCTGTTGCACAAAACATACATATATCATTCATTAAACGATGAAATACCAAATGGGACATGAAAGTGGTACCGGAGATTCTATCATGTGAATTATTTCTAGCAATTTGCAGCCTCAAAGGACAATCTTCATTTTTTCTTGTCCAATTTTGGTGTTTATTTTGAGATTTTGTGTAGTTTTTTTTAGCATCAATGCATGACTAAACGACGATTTGAAGATTCTTCAATTAAAGAATTATGACAACTGACAAGTATTTTGGGGAGTTACATTTGGATCCAACATCTCTATATATATAATTTTATTGTTGGGAAAAAAGAATTAAAAAAATAAAAAAATTTGCCGCTCATTTTTCCAACTAATTTAAAAGAAAATCGTTACATTTTGCATTAAATTAAGTAATTATATTTTTTATTAATTTTATAGTAGAAAATTATATACATATAAAAATTATATGAAAATTATATACATATAAAATTTCTATTGCAAAACTTTTTTTAAATTATTAATTTAAAATAATTATTATATTTTTAGCTCATTAAAATATTTTTTATTAAAATTAGTTAATTATTTTTTATGGCATAGCCAAATCACTTAAAATTTAACTCACAATTGCTATAACATTAATATTTTTTATATTTTTCATCTGATTAATCAATCAGTCACTCAAAATATAAAAACTATATTATTACAATCAATATAGTGATTTATATGTAATTTAAATAGTTTATATTTATATCGTCTATTTTACTAATACTATTTATAAAATGTGATATCTTAATATCTAAGTTATGATTTTAAATATTATATACACATAAACAACTAATAAAACTTTATTTGTATCTATACACATAATCAAATGTATTTCAATTATGATTGGTTTGATTAGAACAAAGTTGGGATGTTACTCACATCCAATTAATAGAAGTAAATAAAAAAGACCATCAATAGTACAAATTAGTTAAGACAATTAATCAGAAGTGTAGAGGTGGTAAATGAATTGCTCGCTAACATAGGTCAGTTTGCTTGTAAACGGATTAATCCAGCCCAAATAATTAATCGAGCTTATTTATTAAACGAGTCGAGTGTGTTCACAAACAACATTTTTAATGGGATTTACACGAAATAGTCGACCCAAAATATTAACGAATCGGATATTCATGTTTGTGAATAAGATTTTTAAGTTTATCACATGTATCTCATATTTTTTTAAACAAACACAAAGTCCAGAGGAGCTAAGCTCAGTTGGCCTCGATGAACCATTTTCCTAAACCAAATTTAATAATTCAAAAAACGGTATTATCCACCCAATAAAGGTACCGTAAAAAGGTAATACATGTATCCCAACGTACAATCAATGTAAAACCAGAGTACAAGTACCTAGATTCCGGCGACCGTGAATCGAGACCGCCGGAAACTCGAAACGACGTCGCGTAAATTCAGGCAGAAGCTGAGGGAACATAAAACGGCGCCGGCGAACAAGAGCTTGGCCGATCGGAGGGAGGAATTGAGTCTGCGAATCGGAGGAATGTAGAGCATAAGCGGCGCCGCCGCAAACGCCGCCATGAACAGGAGTTGAAGCATTGAGATTGAAGAACACTTTTTTTTTTATTTTATTTAATTTCAAATTTTAGTGCATAGAGCACACAATTGAGTAATGGCAAATTAAGTGCGCTTTTTATATAATAATAGTTGCACTAATAATTGTGTTGATTTGTGTGTGAGGTCCAAATAAAATGCTGATTATTAATTAATATCGTTTTATTAGAAGTGGTTAAAAAAATATAAATTAACATATTTCATTAGATCAATTTGTATGCTAGTAGCAAATGAAATAATGGAAGTGTCAATTTATTAATTCCAGAGTACTTTATCTAAATTTCAATTTTTAAAATTATAAGACACTTAAGCAACTTAAATTATATGTCCATCTCTAAACAAACTAGATTTGATATTCACATTACATTGCATATGTAACCATATTTTTACCTTTATAATTAAAAATAAATTATTTATCGATATTAGGTGAAAAATAGTTAAAATTATTTATCAACTAAATAAATTAAATTCAATTCATTATATAATGCAAATTAAAAACGAATTAGAAAAATTATTATAGTATAGCATAGTTAAGTCAAACAAGTGAAGGGTATTATTTAAAATTTCAATAATAATCTAATTTTTGAAGAATTATATAAAACTTAAATATTTTTTATTTTTTATAAATTTAAATATATTTTTTTGTTAATACTTTCTATTGTTGATATTTACTAGTTTTTGGGTCCTATAATTGTACGGATAATCAATCAATTTCGAGGCTTTTGGAAAGTAAACAGCATAATTAAATTAAAATAACATACAAGGGAAGTTCAATTATACGCT